CAATTCAATTATCTTTTCTCTAGTCGCTTTTCTGCGCAATAATAAATGGACAAATCTGATACCTCGGTCGAAGTGTAAAATAGCGACTGTAAAGTTTAAACAGTGGGCCGTTACAAAACAATGTTCCAATTTGAATTTTTACGCATTACAACTTTTAATACTGATAAGAGAGAGTTAGAAAGTTCTCGTTTAATCACAGTTTGCAAGCCGAGCTCTCGCCACGCTCGCATCAAGCGAGTATGGTACTTTGAACTTTACCACTTTCATGTCGACGGCATATCTTAAAGTTGCTAAGTTGCTTGTCTATTGTCGGAGAGTTCTACTGAGCATAATTGGTCAGACAAAAACACCGCAGTTTCAAAAATTGCGACTGGAATTTGCTCGATAGATGCTCGAAAAACTTTACTCTATCTGTGATCGTCCATCCCAAAAGATTCCGGGTTGCATTTCCAATTTTGGCATTTTATCTCTTCGGATAAAAGAGCGTAACGAAATTTTTATAAATCGTTGGCCAATATGCAAAACCACGTATACAAACCTAACAGGGATACTTCACGCGTTGCGCAATGCGTGAAGTATCCCTGTTAGGTTTGTAGGCGCCAGTGCGTCGCCGCTCCGCTTTGTGTTAGGCTCTAAAATTTAATCTGGCGGAGTCAGCGTTATTCAACTCATGATTTTGAAATGTTTGCACATCCTGTATGGATTATTCTCGTTTTAATTAATGAAAAAAAATATGTATTAAAAGAAAATATAAATTGTGTTTTGTAAATATTAAGGTGGTTCCGCACCAAAGTGAAGATCCACTCTTTCGACACAGGGACAACGTGATTTTCGCTACAACGACTATCATAATCTTGCGTCTTCCGGCACTGAGGCCATTTTTCTCAAGGACCGTTTAATATTTGGAAATTAGCTGTAGCCCCCGACATGTTTTGAAAATTTCACGAGAGCTCTGAGATAGAAACAAAATTAAAAATCTCATCATATGTTCTTTCAGCCTCATTCTGCCGTGCCGAGGAAAAACGCTGTATGAACATTCGAATGCTTCCGAATTTCCTCCGATAAAACGTTCATTTCTGAGGAAAGGTATGAATATTTTTCAATCCAATTTTCAGACACCTCAGGTCAAATTACGAAAAAATTCTCTGAAAAATGCGAAGAAAAGTTTTCACAGATTATCCTGAAAATTTGTATTTTGTCAAAGAATATTTGGCAACTTCTGATGGCTCATACGGTGCTCTTCCTTAGCACGGCAGCATTGTGGTGCATACAAGGGGTTGTTTCCCTTATTTCTTCAAGAACCGATGGAATTCCCTTCTTCAGAATAAAAGCTCCCAAAAGCTCCCTCAGATTTCAGCCCTCCCCCTCTCGAAGCTGTGCTACACCGCGCCCCCGGACCCGACAAACTTTCACCCTGAATCCCGACACTCGAAAAGTGAGATATGTGGAACAAGGAGAGATATAGACAGGTGCAAAAATAGAAAGATTAGACACGTGTGACAATTAGATGGGTCAAACAATCGTTGCCAAGTTGTGCAAAACTCGAAGTGCCGCGTGCGAAAAAAATTCCCCATCTCCCCTGAAAATGGCACAGTGGAGACAACTCGTGTCCCGGGTCAGGGGCTGCAGTCGAGAGAGTCTTGACCCTGATTTGGCAACCGGACCTGAAACATTCCCGGCGAGTGCAGCTTTACAGCCTTGCCAAATCGAGCCTGCACCCCGCGATGCTTTTCGCAAAATTTGAGCGTTTCCCTCGAATATGGCAACGTCGGAATTTTCTGGCATCCTCGGCGTTGAATGCACGAGCCATTGGTTGTAAATATTTCTTGCGTGCACTTTCTCTCGGGGTGGATATTCAACACCTCGGAAACCGATTTGACTATTGATCGATCAATTGAATTACATTTTGCAATAAGGAGCCACTATTTCTGGCCCATTTTAGAAACAACATACATGCCATTGGTTCCCCTTTGAAGATATGTTCTTTTAAGGGTGGGCCAGAGATGGCAGTTCCTTATTGCAAAATGTAATCCCATTGATAGTTTACAGTGGCGATTTTGAGGGTTGCAAACCATGTTTTTCCTCCCCTTGTATCCATCAAAAATATCGATTGTATGCAAGCGGCCTTTCCGAGAATCGATTGTTTTACATAATTTTAAATGGGAGGAAAGCAGTAATAACAGTATTTCCAACACCAAGAATCACCACTGATAGTTTATAGATTGTGGATTTCTGGATCTCTGCCTTCCCGAATCGTGAAATAACGGTGTTTCTGTCAAAAATTATAAATCGCGTTTATTGTCAAAATAATGGTTTTTTTGGGGGGAGAAGGGGGAATTTTTGGTTATGGAGAGGGGGTATCTATGCCTTCTCCTCCTCCCTGTCCACGCCTCTGCTCATTATCCATCGTAGATTGAACTGCATTTCAATAGGAGCCTTCTGCGAATCCGCTACGCCCCACTCACTCTCCAGTGCAGAGCATACTCGAATACATACTCGAAGGCGGCGATGCGGTGGTGGCAAGACCAGGTGTCGGGGCTCGGGGGGGGGGGGGGGGGGGGGGAGGGGGGACTACGTGGAATATCTTAGCCGAGCCCCTCGGATCTAATTAAAGTGCTCTTCTTCAGACAAAAACGAAGAAAAGAATATTAGTCCCGGGCCAAGTTATTGAGAGGACAGGTGTTCGCCGATGTGTCGGTCCCTAACCCGCGTCTCTCCCTCGTCCGCTCCTCAAACCGCGATTTGACGTCGAGCTAAAAATAAGCCCTCCCGCTTGAACCCCGACTTCCAGTCGAATTCGGCTCCGGAGACAAATTATGTTGAGTATGATAAAACATCAGAACGAAACAATTGGATTGGATAAAATATAAAATCGAGTCGAATTGAGAGTTTTTTCAAAGGTAGCTAAGCTATCTAGAGATGGTTAAATTTTTGTCTAATTTTTGGCATAGCCGGCGAGGAAAAAGATTGGTAGAATTCACCATTCCTTCACTCTGCATTTCACACAGCGTTAATTCAGAGTTAATTCTAGCAGAAGAATGGTAAACGGTGCTTTATACCGGTACAGGAGAATGGACTTTGAATTCACGCTGTGTAAAATACAGCGTGAAGGAATGGTAAATTCTACCAAGCTTTTTTCACGGTGGCTCGTTCGCAATTGATCTGCTGGTCCGAAATCCAATGAATTTGGCGCCTATCGGCAGGCGGTAACCTCTAAATGAACCGTACTTCTTGAGGTTTTTCTTTGACATTTCGAGAGTAATCTTGGGATACTCCGTGTGTAAATGTTTGAGTAATCTGCTAGTTTCTTTTTCCTCTCATTTCCTTTGAAAAAATGAGAAAAAAGGAGCAACAGTTCTGAAACATCACCATCGAGATCCGCCTTTTGCTAGTTTCTCCTCCCAAAGTAACAATAGGAGGAACTTGCGCCTGAATTTCAATTGCAGAATTTCAAAATTTCCGGAGCTTCTATTTAATGTTTTTTATAAAGATAAAGAGAAAGGAAATCAGTTTCATTCTCGAGGAACATTCTCCACAAATATGAATATGTACTTACGGAAAATTTCGAGCAACGACTGATCGGTTTTCTGATCGAAACAATTACAAGGGAAAGTTTCCTAAGATTGCATCGTGTTTGCGCCAATAGGATTCTCCGTGCATCCAATACCTAACTTTCGAGTCCTGAGTAAAGATAATCCGATCCAAACCCTTGAGTAGTAAAATTCCTATACCTACAAACTTTGGCTAATGCAAATGTGTGAAAAATCACACTGTGAAAATTTGAATACAATTGGATGGATGAAGAGCTAATCGGCGAGCAAATCATGAAAGAAAAAATATAGGAAGCACTATTTAAAAACCAACATTGATCCGGGAATTTTTCGTGATTTACGCGAATTTCCCCTTACATATAAAAAAAAAAATCAGTATTTTCCAGGTGGAAATGCGATGTCATATTTTTAGGTGCGGAACCTAGACTAAACTTAAAATAGCGAATACTCTGAATATGACACAATCGAGACGTATCCTGATTGTAATGTCACAAAATTTCCACGCCAGTTTTTTCGTCAGAACACTAACTTATTCTTTGAAATACTGGCAGACAATTTTTGGAGAGTATTTTGAAAAGCGCACTGGAAATCGCACGAAATTTCGCTCAATAAAACTGATCGGCACCCTTCAATTAGATGAAAAATATCAGTAATTATTGATGGTTACGCTGCGAAAACCAGGCTTTCCGATTTGCGACTAATTCTGTGATTTTTTCCTCTTTCAAAGAATTTGTTGCAAACTTTAAAAAATAATCATTACAAGTTTCGTCGTTTCTCATCGATGAAATGAAATAGAGGCGAAACTTCTGAACCAGCCTGGCATAGGGGCACATGGTTCTTCAGTATAGCGATCTATACCTACATGATACTTTAAAGCGAGCTGTAGTTCCACCAGAGCGAAGGAATTAAGGAACAATTTTTGAGAACGTCATTTTGTTTTTTTGATAATAGAATTGAGTTATCTATACTCGTAGTAGTGATCACTATATTTTCCACAGTTGATTTTCCATTCAGTGTAAGGTAAAGCTAGAATATTAATTTGTCGTAAAAATCGCGGAAAAATCACACATAAGCACGCAGGGAGGTGTAAAATCTATCGACCCTTAAAATTCAGGAATCCTTCAAAATCTTATAGATCACTACAGGCGTAACTAGTGTTGCACCAAACAGCATATCTCTTTGAGGAAAAACTGTGCTCATGCGAGCTTTTTCCCTCTGTATCGAGATTTTCAACTTTATGCTGAATTTTCAACGCACGTTGGCAAAAAACTCCAACATACTTATAGATCACTGCTATCAATCAACACCTGTTCTCAGATTCAACACCAAACACTCGAAAAAAAAAAAATCCGATCGGAATTCGAGGCAAGCACAAGAACGTCCCAAACGAGCGAAGTATGGAAGCTCGTTACGAGACTTAAGCATTTGAGTAAAACAACTTAAGCGCACCTGATATATCCGCGTGAGAGATCGAAGAACTAAAGCACAGACAGCACACACCTCAAGCACTGAACAGTGAATGAAGTATGCGATGGTTGAAGAATACGAGACCGCCGTGAGCTGGCTCGTCGCGCCGACGGGGGCAGCCAATCGGACGGCGCAGGATCCCAGATTCAGGTGACTGGGGCAGGGGGGCAGCCGNGGGGGCGGGGGTTCCGGTCTTGATCGACCGGCGCCGGGGGGCGGGCGGGGGCGCGGGATTTAAAACAGTTCGACCCGTAGGAGGCTTTTCCTCTTTTGACTATCGGTTCTGTTTCACTATTTGGGAAATGTAGCGCCGGATTAGCACTTCGGCACTTATGCTGCCGTGCTAAGGAAAAACGCCGTATGAGCCTTCAGACGTTGCCAAGTTTCCTTCGATAAAAACTGAATTTACTGGGAAAATTGTGAATATTTTTTTCCAAAATTTTCAGACAATTTTGTACGCACTTTAGTCTAAAACATCTGAAAATTTCAAAGGAAAATGTGCATGAGTGTCGTCCAAAATACATGTTTTATCAAGGCAAATTTGACAACTCTCGAATGTTCATACGGCGTTTTTCCTTAGCACGGCAGTATGGGCCCGGGGTGCTCGGTGCTAGTGGATGAAAGGGCATGCACATTTCATTTCTAAATTGATAGCGGCTCAAATGGCTAAGAAGAAAAACAAATTGATCAGAAAGATTCTGAGATATGGCTGTACACAGATTTGGGGGACGCCGGACGGATGGACACGCATTTTTTCATGGTAATTTTGACTCCAGGGACCTTAAAACGTCTAGAAATGATGAAACTTCAACTTTTTTCTTTTTTCTTCTTCTTGGAGGATGACAATACTTCCTCTATTCTAGGGGTGCGAGAAAGTAAAAAAGTGGAAACTTTGGGGATTTGGGACCCCTGAAAAAAGTGTTGTGAGGCATAGGCGGATCCAGGCACTTCGAACGAGGAGGGGGCGTAAGGGGGAGTCCGGGGCCCCTCCTCGGAAATTTTTCGAAATTTTAATTCATTTGATATACAGTTTGAGTCAATTTTGTCCCGAATAATTAAAAAACATAAGCGTCATTCCTTCCTCTTTCCTCCGTCCCTCTCCTTCTTTCTTTCTTCCCTCTTTCTTCCTCCTTATTTTCCGGCAAAAGGAGGGACGCACGCCCCCCGGATCTGCCTATGCACAAAAATCGGATGCGAGGGGCCGCACAAAAATCATAATTCCAGAAACCGATCAAAATTCTAGTTACAGTTTCTCCAAAGCTCTGATTTTACGGGTACGAGGCTCCAAAAATTCTAGTTTCGCCGCCTCCATCCCCACAAAAAAGGGTCAATTCCGGTATGAAGGTTCCAAGGGGCTCTGAAATCCCAGTTTCAGGACCTCTCCAACCCTCCAAAATCTCCATGACTCCAGGGGCCCCCAAAAGATTCTATCGGATCACTTGCAGAGAAAATAAAAAAGTTGAAAAGTAATAATATAAAAAAACCGTTCCACCGAAGTGCCAGGGTGCTTAGCACTAATCCTATTAAGAATAAGCTCTCTGACCCCCTAAATTTTCATGTTTTGTCACAGTTCGTTTTACTGTTCTACAGGGCAGATTTGCGTTCTTTAGGGCTAGGCCACTTGGTAGCCAGGTGGCGTGCCCCCTATTTTCTTTACGCAACACTTGGCTTGACTCTCCTCAACCGTGACTTACTGAAACGTGGCTTTGGACAATTCAACCATCTCACAAGTGCAGTACGTAATAATTTTAACTGATTACCGTAAATGGAAAACCTCATGTTGACGCTGAAAAGTGTCAAAGAACAGTCTATCCTCGATTGCCTTTCCTGCATTTCGAAACTAACTATCCACCACACTACTTAAATTAAAATATGCTGATTAAATCGTGTTTTCCGCGACGGGAAGTCGTGCTAGGGGTTGACAACTGTACTCAGAGGCTGGGCTCACAGAAAACGCGGAACCTGAGGATGCCCAAGTCCTTGGGTGCTCAGTGTCAAGTCGCTTAAGTAATGAGGCGTGGGAGTCGCACAGAGCGAATGAATAATTAAGACATTGATAGCCGCGATACGATCGGAGAGGCTCCAGGATTGCATCCTCCGTTTGTGTTGAAAAGTTGAGCCGTCGCACAGTGGATCGAGTCAATACGAGAGGTTAGAGTACCTGTATAGTGAGAGTATGAACAGATGTGAAACTCCGAAAATCCATCAGACCTTCACCGATGCTTCGGCGAATAAAGTTAGGGCCCAGAAATGCAGCCAACCTATGAATTTCAATTATCCAGAACGATTTACTAATACTATTGTTACGAACCGTCGTTTATAAAGCACGTATTTGACTCAGTTTATGCATAAAACTCATTTGTGCGGAAGAACGCTCATTTCTGTACATTCTTGGCCATCTTGGTTAGAATTAGAATCTGCAGGCTGGCGGTGAAATTTTGTGTGGTAGAAGTTGATTATAGGGATGGCTGCACTTTTGGTCCCTAAGACCTCCATGAAGCGATCTGTCCATACTCTCGCTATACAGGTACTTTAGGAGAGGTCGGACAAAATTTGGAAACTTTAAGCGCTTATATCTCCGTTTATGCAAAGCTTTGAGGCTCTAAAAGTGGCTTTATTGGTTCCCTCGTGAAATTTTCCTCTTCAAGCATCCCTTGAATTTGAGTGTGTGACGAAATAAACATCGACATTTGCAGTTTTAGCAAAAAATGTCTTGTCCGACCTCTCTGATTGACTCGATCCATTGTGCGTCGCGTCGACCCTGGCTCATCGGCTGCGTTTTATCTTCCAGTAAGTTGTGTCTCAAGTCTACCGCTCACTTTTAACAATTTTCGGAAAGCGTTATGACTTCGGGTCACGGTTCCCTGTTCCCCGAGGCAGCAGCCGGTCGGTCTGTTATTGCAGTCAGGTGTTGGGATTGGTGACATGATTTCACCTCGAGTCTTCACCGCAGTGATTATCATATTGCGGTTGCGAATGTAGTTCGACCCTGTCAATGGACGGTGGAGCACTGGAAAAAAAACACAGTGGATCTAGAGTCCAGACTCTTAAAAACATCGACAAGAAAAAAATACTCTTGATTCAATCGGATTTTTGCTTAAATCAAAAACCATGCCTCTTAATTTGAGCGGATTTCCTTTTGATTTAAGCTTAAATCTGATTGAATTAAGAGTATTTCTTCATGTCAATGTTTTCAAGAGTCTGGACTCTAGATCCAATATGTTTTTTTTTTTCCAGTGAGTGTTGATAAAAAAGAGAGATTAAAAATTGCACTGAACTTTACGGAGCGTTTCAGTAGCACGAAATTTGAGGAGTACTTCTTTCAAGTTAATCTGGCTCCTCCTACGTTGTAAACAAACATCGAGTTATCGAAACAAATTTTGCTTAAACACGAGTTTTGCTGTTCACTCTTTGTGAAAACAGAGAAGCAACAGTGAAGAAGCATACTTCAGCAGTCTATTAGTTAAAAAGCTCCTCCGAAAACTCTAAAATAAAGCCAAATGAAACTAAAAATGTCAGAAAATTCCAGTGCGATTTAACCATTCGAATGTGATTCGCATTCAGTTTCATTTGGCTTTAACTTTGGGTTTTTGGAAGAGACTTTTCACCAATAGTCGGCTGAAGCATGCTTTCACACCGTTGCTTCTCTGTTTTTCCAATTTTGAAAAGCAAAACTCTTTTTTAAGCAAAATTCGTTCGATGTATCGATGTTTGTTTCCTTCTTTGGATTAACCACCTATAAAGGCGGGACTCGAGAGCTAGTACTCGAAGAAGGAAGAAAGTGTACCTCTACATGATATTCATAGCAACGTCTTGATGCAACTATTCGCGCTTCAAGACTGTGCGTATTGCATAGCCACAATAACGAAGGCGCCTCGTCTTCCCGCGCCTTCTCTACCGCTGCATAACGCATACTCTCAATAACTTATTTCGTCTTTCGTTTGAAAGAATCCTTCACACATTGCATCCTCTAGACGAGGCCTTGAAATGCCCAATTTCAGTGTTTTTTTTTTTTTTTTTTTGTTTGTTTGTTTTTTTTAGTGTATTTTCCGAAGGAAATATTTTTCTTTCTTACGTTGTGCATTACAATCGGACTGCCTTTTGCCATTTGGAACTACAATTTCTCGCTCAGCTGTAAGAACGCTTACGGACATAGGGGAACCAATGGTGTATACGTTGTTATAAACTAAGCCAGGGTTTGTGGTTCCTTATTGCAAAATGGAGCCCAAGTGCACAGTTTTTTTTTTTTAAAAAAAGGAAAAAAAACCGAGCATCTTTTGCCGGTTGTCGGTCCCGAGTTCTTCGACCTCACGTGAAGTACAGACCTCATACCCGCACCGTCATGCATCAGATGAGCACCTAGACCTAGACTATGGTGCACATCCGCTGATTCGTTTATGCATCCAAGAGGAATTATTAATTGTTAAGACTAATGAGTACATAGGCCCGGAAACAGACACTTCCAAAAATCACCTTTCTCTAATTACTATTACTGAAATTTCGCGGGACCGCGAAGAGTTTGCGACAGTCCTCGGGCTTTAAGACTTGATTCAGAGGCATAGGGTAGAGGTTTGGAGAGTGAGATGGGCATGAACCAGGAGCTGTTTAAGGAAGAGGCCTTTAGTTTTATGAGCTCTTAGACCTTCCTAACTCATGATGTAAACAATGTAGGGCCTTTTGGGGGAGAGGAGCTGTTTCAGAAACAATACCATGATTACGGCCCCACTTCTGAAGATGGTTAAGCGTCGAAGGGAACTTAATTTTCACGATTGCGTGACCAAATTAACTGACAGACGACCGCTAATTACTTGCTATGACGTCGCCTTTCTAACGCAACGGCGTAGCTCAATTTACACGTGAGCCCTGATTTACATATGAATCTATGCTTTCTAGGGCTCATGAGAAAACCGAGATACGCCCTCATGCCATGCCAGAAGAGCAACGTTGTGGGCCTCGCAGTGCAGAGCTGTCGAAGAGTCCGTTCGCGAATTGCAATACATGCAAAATGCACTATTTATCATAGGATCGAATCCGTCGCTCACCAGAATTTTGTTGCTCTCCAACCTAAGGGCGTATCTTATTTTTCACGTGAGCCGTGATTCACGTTTAAATCAATGCTTTCTGGGACTCATAGGAAAGTCCAGATATGGCCTTACGCCCAGAGAACTGACGTTTTGAGCCGGAACCGTCTGATATAGCACGGTTTTCAGGTCGGAATCGGAGTTCAATTGGACTACATTTTGCAATTTTGAACTATATATTCTAGCTCGGTTTAAAAACAACGTATGTACCATTAGTTTCCCAATACACATACGTGTTTTTCCAGAAGAGCCAGAATTTATAGTTCCAAATTGCAAAATGCAGTCCAACTTTTCGTCGTTTTCCTGCCTAAATAAGAACGTAACTGCGTCTCAAATCTGGAAAGTTTCCACTCGAAAGTTGTATTATTACTATGAATTTTTGGAGCCTTTTCAACTGGAAATTGTGCTGATTTTTGTCTTCTGCATATGCGTTAAACTTAGTAAAAATACTGACGAAAAATGCGCAGTCGTATTCTCTTAAAAATTCAAATTTTTTACGTCACCCTGATTAGTCGATTGACATGATATCATTATGTGAATTGGCCGATTCCTCTATATGATATCAGTACGGTATTATTATTATTTCAGGATATCAGTATGATATCATGCTGGCACCATACTGATATCATACTGATTCATCAGAAAGAGAGGTCCTTAAAACTCTTGTCATCTTATCAAATATCGAAAAAAATACGAGGCTGAGGAAGGAACTTCTAGCCCTCTGAATTGCATCAGTGACGCTTCTCTGTTCCTTAATCCCTAAATTCGGTCGGCCTTTGACGGCGAAACAAGGACCCTCCATATAATGTCGCTGATTAACTTTTCACCACCATACAAAAGCTCTAATATTTTTCTGAAGCCCGACAACGGTGCGTATGGATCGTGCACTTGGAACCAACTGCAAACTGCACTGCAAGGCGAGAAAAGCCATTTACTCTTCGCTTGACCGGCCCATTATCCAATTAATTTATTTGCTCACAAATGTGGCAACAAGGCCAAGGTCGACAGCTAGATATAAATAGGACCCTGCAAGAAATGTCCGACACTTTCCGATTTAAACGGCCAGTTTTGTACTCCGTATCGCACGGTTTACGTCAGTATTTGATGGAACTCTTGAAAATCTGCTCAAGAAGTGTTTTGGGCCCGATGATCAAAGTTGGACTTTTTTCGAGGAACCTATAGAAAGCAACATGACATGCTTCACTCACATTTTAAGAGAACTATCGGGTACTTTTCTGATGAACTCATAGTGGTATTGGAACCGTTTTCGTAAGATACAACTTCTCTACCTGCTGCAAAAAAAGTTTGCATCAGGTCTATTGTTTGGGAAAGGTAAGGGTATTTCGGTCATTGCGCATCATAGGCCAATTGAGAGGCGTGAAGGACAAGGCATAAGTGCAGTTTTTGCTGTTTCGAGAAATATGTGTTTGAAGCTTCGAAATTACACGGATCCTTATGGCGTAAAGCAAGTTCAAGCTGACTTTTTGATACTTAAAAATTGGAATTTGGGAGCAAATTTTTGCAGTATATACATTGAATCTAGTTTGTTTGAAATCATTAATCTCTCAATTTTTTCGAAAATTGCACTTATGCGCCTTGTCCTCCAAGCCCCTCAATTAAAATTTATGAGAGGAGAAAATGGACCTGCTCAGAGTTTCTGTATTCTCGGAGGGGCTGTTTATTTAATTTCGTGAGCACGTTCCTAAGGAGAAAAGAAAACTCAGGAAGTATGTTACGTAATACTGAAAAGATTGTTAGTGTCTCATCTGCAAAAAAAAGTTGAGATTTAATCATTAGTTCACAAAAATCAAACTTCAATGCTATTAGATCAGGTGAGATCGCCGGATTAGTTTAGGATTAGTTAGTTAAGATCAGTTTAGATAGGTTTAGTTTCAAAGCTGAGTTAAAGGCTGAATTGAATGTTAGTGAGGCTTTAAGAGAGAGTCATGGTATATTTACTAGATGCCTTGCTCTGCGCTTAGAAAGCTTAGCGAACTATCTTTCATCCCTTTGGTGGATAGATCAGTCTTTTTTGGCGTGGAAATTCCGGCGGGTTTAAATGCAGGCTCAGGCCGTAGGCTCCTGTAAAAAAATAATAATGGAACAGTTTCGTAACAACTTATGGATCAGCATTCCCTTTTTGACTTTTAAAACTTTCGGGACTTCAGTGAACGAATTAATGAAATGAGGTCCAAAATTGTAAATGGATCAACTGCGTGTGAAACTGAAAACATATTTCCAGTGCCACGACGACCTTAAAGAGGTTGCCCCTCAGATATTGCTAATGAATCTGAGTGTTGTGCATGTTGCCTATCCATTAATAAAAGGGACACCTCTTATTGAAATTGAAATTATTTCCAAGAGTGTATGTATTGCAATTTGCCTATCTATTTATATGCACTTATTGATAGTTTGACTGAATAAATTGTGTAAAATTCTTGCAATTCTGCGGTCAAAAAATCACAATTTTATTGCGTCAAATTTCAAATTTATTTCAATAATTTTATTGCATTGTACTACTTGAGTTGATCTAAACCATCGTTGCTGCAAGAAGATTTCTGTTCCAAGCTCATCCTCCTCAATCTGGCATATACTGTACTTGCAAGGATGAAAGTCAAACAAACGGAGGCGTGCCTTGGGTTTGCCACCGGTAATTGAAATCTAACATCGATTTAATTCAGCGCACATCAGTGTCCATGTCCAATTCAATGGTAAATCAGCGTATGAAAAATTGTCAAGGTGGACATTTTTCTGAAACCGAAGGAACATGGCTTCCAGCAAACGATGTTCCTTTAGTTGAACACATTTTCTTTCTATTTTTAGTCAAGTACTTTCGGCGGATTTCACGTTACAAAAGTAGGACCTGCTTTTTGCGAAAAAACGCAAGTGTTGTTCACGATAATTTCTTAAAAGTTTTAATGACAATCCAATAAATGTAATAATGACCGTTCAAGGGAAAACTTCTCAGAATCCGTGATTCTATTTTCATTTTGGAGGGAAGGGATCTCCCCTTCCCTGCATTTCAAATGACATTGTTCGGGAAGAAATTTTGGTCAATTTGTCATCAATTTTAGAAAGCTCGGGGAAATTTTAGTGTCCTACCGACAAATTATTTAGCTATGCCAGGGAAAAGCATCAATTGAGCATTTGGAGTTCGCCATTTTCCGAAAAAGTACTGACTTTCTTGAAAACTTTTAGTCTTGATTTCTTCGAATTTAGCCAAAAATGTGCAATTTGAACTAGCAAAATTTGAGGAAATCAAGGCAAATTATTCATAAATTATTTTTAAAATTAATATTTAATCTTTGAAAAGTAACAAAATTTCGAATGCTCATAATTCTTTTTCTTGAGCACAGCAATGTTAACTCCTCTCCTAAAATGTTGCTGAATTGACGGCCCTTTCAGCAGATCAATTCTATTCAGATGTCTCTGAAAAATATCTATACTTTTTATTGAAGAACACTTTTAACACGCATTAGAAAAATGTCTTACGGTTGGGGTTTCGTTGAAGAATCGTCATCTTTTGCGGGTGTTGAAAAGGGTCCCTCCTCAGGTGCTTTCAGTGGAGTGTTCGGCGGAACCTTGGGGGGTTGGGGGGCTTTTCTGGTGGGGCTTGGGGGAGCTTTTGGGGTATCCGGCGGAGTTTTCGGTGGAGTTTTCGCGGGGGGACCTTTGCCAGGGGCCTGGCGAGGAGAGCTAGGTGGAGTCTTTGGAGGGGGCGATTCTTTCGGAGTTTTGGGGGGACTGGGAGAGGATTTCGGCGGTGGGGGCGTGATGGGCGCAGGTTTGGGGGGAGGTGCCTCTTTTGGGGTGGGCGCTGGCGGTTTTGACGGCTCAGGCGGTCCGCTGGGGCTAACTTTATCCTGAGTTTTGGTTCCATTTTGGGCTGACGTAGAGGGCTGTGACGCACCTAGGAAACTGTGGAAATGAAAAATTGCAAAATCAAAATCTCATAACAAAAAATAAAAACGAGGAAAATAAAAATAAAAGTAATGAAAAAACAAAACATAATTAAAGAAAGTTAAACTTCTTTCGATGAAAATTCAGTGTCCGTTCAGACCTTCCCACCCTTATTGAAAGAGTATTATGATAATCTCCATTACGACTATGTGATCTTTAAACCATGTACTGGCTGACACCTAAAATCAGAATTTGTTTTATTATTATAGGTATCATATTAATTAATGATGTTTCGAATTTTCTCCCTAAAAATATATTCTTTAGGGAGAGCGAGTTTTGCGAGTACTTTAACTGCAAATCGACGAATCTTGCAATCTCGAATATTTCGCATCATTTCTCTCCACTCAATATGCGGTCCTTTTTTAAAAGAATAATGACAAATTTGTAATTTAAGGTCGCAATGAGTAGTATAAAAAAAAGGGAAACAAATCGAGAAATAAACGTAAGAAAATTGCTAATTGATCTGTGTATTAATATATGCTCATTCTTTTTACTCTTTCCTATACGTTTAAGCGTTCTGCTCCTCTCATTTTCATGAAAAAAAAAACAAATAACAAAAAATTAAATGATTTTTGAAAAAAAAGTACATTAGACTCCGGATTATCCGGCTTCGTATTATCCGGACTCTGGATTATCCGGATCGATTTTGCAACCATGTAACTGAGTACGCATTCCGATAAGTGAGCGGATCCGCGGAGAAGCGGTCGCAAGGCATATTGGCGCCTGCAAGGCTGAAGGAATACTTCACGCATTGCGCCAAACAGTGAGGTCGGCGTGGAACGCATTAGCGCCTACTAGATTGCATAAATACTTCTCGCATTACGCCAAACGCAGTGCAGTCGGTTAGTTAACCTAAAACGCACATTAGCGGCTACAAGACTGCATGAATACTTCACGCATTGCGCGCTTTAATCGTTGTGTTGTAATTTATCGTTGTCGGCTACCATTCACAATCACCATTGAGTCTTTCAGTTTGGCGTTAACCTTTTAAATTCGTGTTGGTATGTACATGATGTATACATAATAAGAATACTGTGGTGTTGGTTGGTGGTGTTTGGGTTTACTATTATTATCCGGATTTCTTTTTCATCCGGATCGGGCTGGCACCAATTAATCCGGATAATCCAGAGTCTACTGTAAACCTAAGAAGGTGACGAATAATACATCAAAACAAACTTGAAGGATTTTGAGTGAAAAAAATACTAGGTTAGTGAGGACAGCCCTGAAGTTGGCTCCTAACTCAACGATACTTCTAACTGTAAAAAGAAACCGAATCGATTGTCGCGTTTGGAGGAAATATCAAATAGAAACTGTTCTCACCCATCAAATACAAGGTGGTAAAATGGTGCTGGGTCCACACTATTTTTCGGGGAAAACAAGGCCAACAAAAATTTCAATCAGAGTAAAAAATGTCAGCTCTAAATTTCAGCTCTAATTTCCTCGGAAAATAGTGTGGACCCAGCACTATTTTAACACCTTCTTACAAACAGTTTCAGGCCGCGTGCTTGGTAAAATGGTTCTATGGGAACCTGCTGAGAAATTCCCATTGGAACCCGTGCGGGGCAACGGGTCCCCACTGACAATTCGCGATGATTCCCATTGGGTCCTCATTGGAATTTCATGGATCCCATTGGATCCCTATAGGCTCCTATCGGATGCCATGAACCACCTATTGGTCCCCATTGGGATTTCGAGAAGCCCATAGGAACCTAATGGGTCTCCGTTGGAATGTAATGGGTCCCTATAGGACCGTTTCACCAGGGAATTCTTGGTGTTTTTTTCTTATCAAATACTTTAGGTGATTCGATGGACGCCATATTTTGTGTCAGAACGGCATGCGATATATCGCATCAATCGGTTCCATTTTTTCAGCTACTCGTCATTTTTCTCCAATTTTGAGATCGCAATGCTGTTGTCAGGAGACTCAAGCACTCATTTACCAATTTTAACAAAAAAAATTCAACGTAATAAAGGCGTGGTTTTTCTGGAGGAAAGATATCGCATTCGAGTGCAGTTTCGATATTAGTGTCGAATGCGATGTTTTCTCTCTAAAAAACCACGCCTTTATTACGTTGAATTTCTTTGTTAAAATTGGTAAGTGAGTGCTTAAGTCTCCTGACAACAGAATTGCGATCTCAAACTTGGAGAAAAATGACGAGTAGCTGAAAAAATGGAACCAATTGATGCGATATATCACATGCCGTTCTGACACAAAAATGGCGGTCATCGAATCACTTTAAAATGCGTCAAAAATCCTTTTCCTACAAAATGAGTCCGATCCGAAATCTTCATCGGCTTCACATATGGCAAATCTGAATTCGCAGGTGGAATCGGCACAAGCTTTCATTCGTCATTTTGATGAATTTGCATTGGGCATTGATTTATTGCTAGACACCGCACCACGCCACACCTCGCGCAGGAAGGAGATGCTACCGTGATCGTTGTTTCAAAACGACGGAAATCCTGAATTCCAAAATTCGTTCGTGCGGCAGCACATCGTTATGTTTCGGACAAAAGGACGCAACCACGTGTCGCGATGAGCCCTGTCGTCCATATAGACTCTATTACTGCCGTGCTGAGGAAGAACGCCGTATGAACCTTCAGGCGTTGCCAAATTCCCTATAACAAATCACGAGAGATCGGGAGGATTTGTAAATATTTTTCATCGAAATTTTTTAGAGAAATTTGATCGTAATTTGATCTGAATTATCAGAATATCTCAAGAAGAAATATTCCTGTAACTTTCTTCAAAAATGAATATTTTCCAAGAGGGAATTTGGCAACATGCGAATGCTCATGCGGCGTTCTTCCTCACGGTAGTTTTGGTGATGTCACTAGAGGGATTCTCCAATGTATCGAATTGGATCCATACAATAAAAATGTCTTATAACATGTTTCAATGCTACCACTGAGCATAAATCGATGTATATCATGGAATATGTCGAATCGAACCCGAGACCTTCCGATCAGAGAGCAAGCACTGCAATCACTACACGGGCGTGCTAAGGAAGAACGCCGTATAAACATTCTAGAGTCGCCAAATTTCCTCGGATAAAATGTTTATTTTTTAGAAAAATTATGAATATTTTTCCTTGAAATTTTCAGAAACTTCAAATGAAATCGCGAACAAAATTATCTGAAAAATCGGAAGGGAAATATTCATAAGTTGACCAGGAAATTAGTGTTTTATCCAGGAAAGTTTGGCAACGCCTGAAGGTTCGCACGGCGCTTTTCCTTAGAACGCCACAGTAGGCTGACAAATTACATATTTTATCCAAGGAAACCCGGCAACATTTGAATATTTTGACGTCGATTTTTCCTGAGCATTGCGGTCCGGAGTCCCATCGCTCATCGCAGAATTTTTAAGTTGGGAACCGCCAAACTTCCTGAACTTCAAGACACGTTCGTACTCATATGAGACTTGTAGAATATTAATGAAACTATCCCCCTCCTTTCACCGGTGTCTCCCCCCCCCCCCCATCAGCTGCAACGGTAGCTCTGCGCTCTCAGAGAGGGCTGCTATTTTAAAAAGTGGGAAAACTCCCAAAATGCCGTCCACCTTTGGCTGACTGTCTTTTCCGCACAAAGTACACTTGTGGTAACTTTACCGATTATCGTTGCCGCACAAAATCATTTTCGCGCAAATAATTTTTTGAGGCATGACTACATTTTGCAATTTGGAGCTATAAATTCTAGCCCGGTTTAAAAAAAATGTATGTTCCATTAGTTTTTCTATGCACATAAGTCTTTTTCCAGAAGAGCTAGAATTGGACTGCATTTTCCAATTTGGAACTATAAATTCTGGCTCTTCTGAAAAAACACTCATGTGCATAGGGAAACGAACGGCACATACGTTGTTTTTAAACAGGGCCAGAATTTATAATTACAAATTGCAAAACGCAGTCCAATTCATATTTCCAAATTGCAAAATGCAGTCCATTTAAGAGAAATGAGCGAACAAAGATTGAAAAAACTATTGATGTCGCCAGATGTCTGAGATCTGATTTGTGCGAAAATGATTTTGTGCGGCAACGATAATCGGAAAAAGTACCACTAATTTACTTTGTGCGGAAAAGATATTCTGCCCCACCTTTTGAAGCGTCAAAATTGAGACAAAACACATTAACAGGAGACTCAAACATTCATCAAAGGTCGTGAAGAGCAAGAGGCATAAAAAGGCAATAAAACTCATTAAGGAGCGATCGCCTACCGCGCGCACGTTAAACAGGAATAATTAGATGTTCGTTAATCATGCTCGATTAAGCGAGCAGGTTCGGCTTCAAAGTGTTTTCTAATGCTTCTTGACAACCTGCCAATGTTTATTTTCAATGGTAAAAGTTGACAAAATAATATGTTTCCAACAACATCCGCGGCGCGAAGGCATGAGCGTGTAAAAATCGTGCGTCTGTATTCGTGCTCGTACAGATATGTGCTTATTTCCGGATTTCGAAAGACAGAGACATCTTGAAAATAACTGCGGATAGTCATTTTTCTCTGTACCAATCCCAGTATCCATCCAAGCAGTGATCTTATTCCATGTCCGTCAAAAGTTTCGGGATCGGAGCTTTTTTGTTCCAATTTCTCCTACTCCATGGCCGTCGAAAGTTCATGGATTCATTGAAGATTTTTTCAAAAGTTCTAGACAATACAAAAGATCCGGAACATTTCGGGAATTTCAAAAGTTCCGGGAAAAATTCAGGAAAATCTCAAAACTCCCGCAATTCGGAACTAGTTCCGCGAAATGGGAGCACTGCATCCAAGTTATAAAGTTTGTTCCAGTGGCGTGGCGTGCTTTGCGATATATCGATTGTCCTGCCATTTAAAGCTATGGTAAATAATCGATTATTAAGGTGTTCGCTGCGAACACCCTAATTATCGATCCCTTTCTATAGGTTAAATGGCATGACAATCGATAAATCGCGATAAAGCACGCCACGCCACTGGTTTGGCAATAGCTG